GTAGCTAATGTCGATGACGCAAAGAGGAGATGTTCCCAACCCAAGTTTTAATTTTACTCAAATCCAAGAACTAGGGTTCAGGATAAAGAAACAAAGCGGAAGCAATGGTGTGGGTTCACCTGAACTCAGCGGAAGAGGGGTGATTCTGAGTAAGGAAATCCACTAACACAAAACTTGCATCTGATGTCAACGAAAGAGCTGATGACCCTAGCAGAATCAAGGGAAGATAAGTGAAAACAAATCAAATTGAATGAGTGGCAACCAAAATCAAAAACATAAAGATTAACTTTACCTGAATTCGAATCAAACGCCAGGACTCACCTTGTACTTTTAAGCTCGAACTTCACGTCGGCAAGAACCACAAACCCTAGGTTTAATCTCCCCTTTGCTCAAATCCTAAATAGAGAAAGAAGAAAGGAAAGACTCAAAGAACTCTTATGAAGCGGTTTGAAACGAGTTTGAGTTAGGGAGGAAGTCTTTGAAGCTGAGGTTAGCGGCTGTTTTGGATGGGGATAAGGTCTGAAGCCGGAAGTTAGAGAACCATTCACGCTTGTTGGGACATTTAGGATGTGAAGCTTATTCACCTAACGTTGCCTTTGTTCACCCCCCTATAGTATAAATTTGCTTACCCAATTAGATAAATAACTATCCTTCCATTCTCTCACCTAGTTGTTCTAACCCCATTGAAATCAAACACCCACCGTAGAGTTCTGAAACGATTATAAAGTGAAGATGTTAGAGGGGAAATATTGAGTCTTTTTCATCACCCGTACCCTCAAGAAACAGGATGCTGGACCGAATGCCAGCAGCTTGTTGGCCATACCCGCTATAGTCAGACAGCATATAGCTGGACCGTTGAGTGCGAGGTTGGGCCGCGTTTTTCGCCCGCTGAAGCTATAGGACCGCGTATGCTGACCGTTTGGAGTGCGAGTAGCGTTGGTGCGCCCGCTCACTAAGATGTTGACCCGCAATAATTTTATGTTGCGGTTATATCTCACCCCTTCTATCATTTATTGATGTATTTGGATCCGTACTCACACTCCAATGAGCGTGTTACGAATCCATAAATCTGTTTCCCACTCTTGACGAGACAGTTCCTGGAGATATTACGCTTAATATTCTTTAAGCATAACCCGGAACCGTCCGACGGCGTGTACGAGGTTAAACTGATTCCCTAAGCTCCCAAGAGTATATTGAGGTATTTAACTGGTCCCTATCGTTCAACCACAGTCAACGCGTAGCCCAGTCAACGCGTAGTAACGCGTAGCCCTAGTCAATTGCGTTTGCGCATGAGAGTCAAGCTGATGAGTATGAAACCCTAGGGTCCAACGCCGCGTCAACGTGTAAGCCCAGTGTCAACGGGCATCACACGCTTGCGTTATGAGCAGTAACGCCGGCCAAGCGCGTTGCGAGTGCAGACAAATTTTATATCACTCAATGACACAAGCCAAAATCAAGCCTACGAAATTTCGATTCGAGACTTCGAAACGTCAGACGATAACGCACAGCACCGGTCAGATTTTAACTATTTGACAAAATACTGGAATGGGCTAATGCAAGAAGTCACGCTAACTGAAACAGTTATAGGTCCTTTTCACGATTGAAGAGTGGGATCTATCATATCAAGATTCCAGACTCCTCCTAAAAAGAATGAGGCTGAAAACCTTTGAGACGGAGTATCTATTAGGGCCGTCTAACAATTGTATGACATTCCGACGAAACCTCGACGCAAAGACATGTGAACGAGGTCAGAAGGCTTACCTAATAAGGCTCACGGCGCTCGTCAATACGCGCCGTCAATCAGCTCGGATGTGTCCGGGCAGATTGTGTCGGTCACGTCATGGCGCTGTCAATCAGCATCGATGCACTCGGTCACGATTGCGGCACGTCAATCAGCTCAGGTGCTCTGTCACGTCATACACGCACGCATCCAATCAAACGCCGAATGCTTCAACCAACACCGGGGGGGGCCATATGTCAGCTACCCAAGTGATCGACACGTCGACGGTCTATTCCGCACGAGATACAGTCAACGATGTGACCAAATACATGAAATGACGAAAAGTAAAGTCCCGGAAGAAAAAACGCACCAAAAGAAAGGATAGCTCAGGCTGGAGGCCGGACCCGTGCCAGCGCATTAGGATATAAATTGCTATTTAGGTCCCCTAGCATAGCTTCCGGCACGAACTGACAAACCAACGAGCGGACGAGTATTCGCGGAATCGCACGCACAGCAACGGGAGTAAATCCAATTCGCGTGCTCTGGGATCAAGCCAACGTGTTCGACAGAGTCAAGGAAGTATCAAACGTGAGAGCGGACATCGGACGAATCCGATCGAATCAACGATCAGTTTCGGGACTCAGGATCAGAAGTGGATTTACTGATAATCGGATCCGGACTTACTGCCAATCTCGCAATCAATGTCAAGAGTCGTTCCAGCGTCAATCAACAAACAACAGCAACACAAACCGATCAGTCAGTGATCAACAACGAAGGCAGACCAGACAAACGGTAAAAAAATGACGGAAACGAAAACACCGGAGGGAGCTGCGGCCGAAATCGGAGCACCTCAGGTGGTCGGCCCAAGCCGAGCCACCCTGGGGTGGCTCGGCCGCCGAGCCACCCCTTGGGGTGGCCGAGCCACCTCAGGGTGGCTCGGCATGAGCCGAGCCACCTTGAGGTGGCCGGCCACCTAGGGTGTCGGCCACACGTGCACACGGGCACAGTGACGCTTGGCTATAAATAGGAGAGGGGGTTGTTCATTTTGAAGGGTTGGAAATTTTGGAGAGAGGCGAAGCCCTGCTGGATTGGAGACTCGGAACTTAAAAAAGATTGAAACTTTGGGACTTCGGGGACTCACTCCTTCAGATCTGGTGCTCGGCGATCATCAACGTCAAATAAGGCAGGTGTTCGAGAGGATCGGATCTCAGATCTACGTTGCTACACTCCGGATCTAAGCTTGGTCTTAGATCCCGAGACTTGGACGATTGTTTCCTTGGTGAAACAATCCTCCCCGGCTATTATTTCCTTGGTGAAATAATACCCGTTGTACTGCGTAGATCCGACCGGATCTAGATCGCGCGGTGGTCCACGGCAAACAACCCCGGCGCAGGCAAAGAACCCACAAAAGCGAGCGACCGCAAAACAGGAGCTCGCGATTCGTTCGACAAACAAGAGAAAAAGTTGTAATCTTTCTTTTATTTTATTTTGATTTTCATTGTAACCGGATCTTATAAAAAGACCGGATCTTTTGTAACTCAAAAAGTTGTAACTCAAGATGACAATGGAATCAATAACAAAGAAAGACACGAATTTTCCAGCGAACAATCTGGCGACCACAGTGGGAGCCACCGATCTCGCTGCCGAGATCGGAGCGTCGCAGCCGCGGATCTTGATCCCAGTCGTGGAGGAGGTCGAATACGAGTTCGATCAGACCAAGTTCGAGGAATACCTTTCATCCTCGTCTAGATCAACCTCCCCCCGCAAGTCCAAGAAGTCCAAGTTCTCTTCCAACAGAAAGGTGCGTTGGTACGAAGAAGTTGAAGCTACCAACGACGACCTCATCTCGATTGACGCCAAAGTTGCGTCAGATGAGGCTCCACCAATCTCCAACCAGATCAAGCTGGTTCCAACCAATTCCTCCGTCACCAAAGGAGCGGTGACTCTCTCAAAGAGAGCCCGCCAAAGGCAACGCCAACGCTTGGCCAAACAATTCGCCAAAGCGATGGAGTCCACCGACGGAGTCCGCTACAACGCGGGTCTGAAGAACAAGAGAGGCAAACAGCCTCAACAACAGATGAACGGCGCCCCTTCCAAGCCGCCAACAATGGAATGGGTCCGTGTCAAACGGAATCGTTCGACGCTGGAAGAACGTATCCGCAAACGCCGCGCACTATCAGCGCAGGCACGGGCTCAAGCCGAAGAAGCCCGTAGAAAGTTGCAGAAAGAGGTGGTCAAGAAGCCGCCACCAACTCGCAAAGTCTGGAGGCCAAAGTCTGAAGCGGCAATTCAGGCTAAGGAGCAACCTTTGCAGCCTCCAACCAAAATTCAACCTCCGGCGAACCCAGCTAAGTCGCCGAGAATTCCCATAGCTACTCCGGGAGATCATGCAGAATCCTCCCGAAGAAGAAAGCCAGTCTTGGAGCGCCTCGGTCCAATTCCCGATGAGCGAAGCAAAGCTCCGATCCAAGAACGTTTGGGCCCACTAAGAAAACCCCGAACGAATCAACACGCTGGGGGTCGCCGCCACCTCCAACATGACAAGGAGCTCAAGGCAACTGCGCGCGCTAATTTGCGCATTGAGGTCCAAGAGCCCGCTGAGAATTCACGCCCAAAAAGGCATGTCTCGAGGCGCGTGACTCTTGAAAGTCCAAAGAAGGTAATTCTCCCTCAGAAGGAAACGTTATCATCTGATGATGATTACGTTATACCTGAGAAATTGTGCCAACACACGATAGGTTGCTCTGACGAACCAGAAAGAGGAGTCCCCGAGAACAGGAAACTCAGTGCCCTTGTTCAAAGCTCATTCGGGCGGTACTGTCTGAGTGCAACTGCATCAAGGTAGTCCCAGAGAGAATCTCAGTGTTCGAAAGGCTCGGCACCGAAACGCCAAAACCAAGGCATAGGCGTTTTCGGCAAAGAAGAACGGTGGTTAAAGACGAAGAATTTCCGAGGGTTACCGCCAACATGACCAGCAAAGAGACATCGACACAGATTGATCTCAAATCATTTCTGGAAGCGTCCCGGCGTGTAACCTGTCTTCAGTCCGGAGCCATCGCACGAGGAACTTATGGTAGGGTTCGGACAAGATTGCCTTCGGAAGACGAAGAATCGGATTCCTGCTCTGCTGTCGCATCGGACAATACAGTGTCCAGCGAAGGACAACCCCGCGAATCATTTATGATAAGCGCGGAAGAAATGGCCAAGATGCTTGAAGACGCTTTGGCTAAGCAGAAAGAAAGTTTCAAATTCGAGATGGAGATGACCATGCAGCAGATTCTTGCATCAACCTTCCTCACATGCATAGGTTTGAGATGAAGGACCCACTTTCAACATGCCCAAATTCCAAATACAAAGGGATGATTGGATGGAAACAAAAGAATTTGGAATAAATTTTTTCCAATTTTAACAATACTAACCATTTACCTTGTGTGTGTATTCCAAATACTCAAACCATCACGCATAATGAATTTAAATATATCGCTCAACTACCTTTCAATGTTTAAAATTTTATCATCTACATAAAATTTATAATTTAACTATTGGACAATATTTGCAGTTCTGTATCTGAGAAGCAACCTAAGAATGAAGCTAAGCTTGTGCAATTTTCAGTAAAATGTATACGCATAAATGAATTAGATTAACAGTTAAATAGCATGGAGTACCCAAGAGACTTAACATAGCAGTAAACTCACCTAATGCTCTCACTTAGTGCTCCAAAAAGGACTACAGAATTCAGACTTTTCAGCTATTTTGAACATCTTTTATTAAAAGATTATGATAAGGATTCAATGTAAGCACGGAATACATAGTATCAAAGGTTTTCAAATCCATTCGAAGCTAGAAACTGTCACAATGAAGGAGAACAAACCCAGCACAAAGCAATTAAAATGTAAACCCCCACAATAGGCAAGCCTGGTTGCTTGTTAGCACAAGCGAAACCTTTCCTATTTAAAGCACAAACTTTTACAGAACACCCAATGAAAATTTGAAGAGGAAAAAAAATAGTCCAATAGGATAAAAGATTTTTTTCACCTATATACCCCCAAATCAACCATATCTGCATTACCCCTCAAATCTAGATGTCTTCTAAATTTACCCCCAATTCAACCATACTTAGTGAAATACCCCAAACTTAAAGATCGTTAGTTTTTTAACATAACCCATTAGAATTGCCATAAACTGGCAAATATTTAGATTTAGAAGGTAAATTCGCGGTTATGGTTGATTTGAGAGTATATAGGTAAAAAGCACATAAAAAAATACCACAATTTAATTTAGAAATTGATACCTGTAACAGGCCAAAGAGCATGATTATTCAAACTCCTGCAATCCGAAAGCTTCAAAATTCGAAGATTCCGAAATCCCCCCAAATAAGCCATCCACTCAGCATCCACACTGCTCTCCCCACTCAGATCAACCTCTTCAACGCAATGCTGGAAAACCCTGCACAAAATCAAAATAAATTTCACAGACTCCAACAAAAAAGGTCCAAAATAAAATAAAAAAAAGTTAGGGCTGGGGTTTTGAACGGACTCGAGGAGGGAAGGGTAGAGGAGGCGGCGGTGGCGGAGGCGGCGGAAGAGGGCGTCGGCGAGGTGGGAGGGGAGGCGCTCCAGGGTTCGCTTCTGACGTCGCCATGTCTCGACGATCTCTCTGCTGGAGCTCGCAGATTCGATGCAGAGATTTGCGAGAGATGGACTCGTCTTCCTCTTGCTTTGCTTTTTTTCCATTTTTTTTTATTTTATTCCCCCTCTTCTTGCTGATTTATTGATCCGAAGTGAAAAAGGGCAGAGGGGAGCAATTGATAAAAGAGGGGCAGCGTGGCGAGCAAGAAACTTGATTTAATTGTTTAGTGCGGGAATTTTTGGTAAAAACATACAACCAAACAGCCCCTAATAACGATTCTTTCATGCAAGAAACAATAATTTGCAGATTTAACCTTGAATGATTAGGGTTTTTAATGACACGCCTCCCGCTTATATCATATTTGCATATTTACCCTCTAAATTTCACATTTGTTAACTCTCCCTCAGACATAGAAGTCCCCTATAACAAAGCTCTCATGTTGCACCCCAAAAAAATAGGGATAAATCCATATATAAGATAAATACGCAGGGCATATATTCAAGGTGGTTGGACCATGAGAACCCAATCTATTTGGACTTCACAAATTAAATCAGTTTTAGTGGGTATATAAATCTGGTCCCAGGACTGAAAACTAGTTTTCAATTTGACAGAGGGAACAGGGTTGGACCAGTCATTTCTTTAGTTTTTCCTAAACTAGCTAGTCTTCGATCTTTTATACATACCAAGACGGCGAACATCAAATTGAGCTCGTATGATCTCTTGTCTAAATTCGTAACCACGGTCTGGCCTTCGTACGTACGATCAGAAGAAATCAGAAGTTTCTCGGTGACTTGGGGGTGGGAGGACGAGGACAAACTACTACCAAATTCCACATGTTTCACAACTTCGGTGTTAAACGAAGGCTGGCAGGTACCCGTGTCGCAGGAGCTTAAGCTCTCCTAGTCTCCGATGTCATTCTCAAGGTTGAAGGTCAGTTTGGTTGCTCTTTGTGCTCTCTCGCTGTTGGAGGGGGAGGATTTTATTTGGGATCCAGCCATCGAGGTGCATCTCCTATCCTAACTCTTCTTTCATTTTTAAACTAAAAAGAAAAAACTAAAAAGAAAATAACGGTTTAATTTTTTTTTACCTTTCTTATATATAGTTAGATTTAATAAAATGAAGTTTTGTGCAGGTATATTTATTAGAAATTAACGTTGGAAATATATTTCGAGATTTTTTTTTTTTTTTTTTTTTGACGAGCAATATGCACGAGAGGGAAATTTTTATATAATATCTATGATAAAAAATTTTAATTGAAAATTAGATTAATATTTGTTTTAGGAGAAATTTTTGAGGTAGGCCGGTTTTGAAAAATATCTGGAAAAACTGACAGTTTTGCTAAACATTTAGGAAAACCGACCTCTTTTTGGCTAGCGGCTTGCCAAAAAGATATTAGTTTTGATAAATTTGGGTTTTAAAACACACAGGACTAGTAGTCTCATGTATATAGTGACCGCTAATTGGCCACTAAACTAAACACAAAACACCCACGAGACTAATATCCCCGTGGGTTTTCGGAAGTTTTAGAATATCCACGGGACTAGTAGTCCCGTGGATTTTACAGAGACTTTGTTCTCTGCTGCCCAGAAAACCCATGGGACTAGTAGTCTTGTGGATTTCTGGGCAACCCAAAACCTGCACAAAAACATGCATAGATTGATCCTGATTTACACCATGCATATATACAATGTATCATATACACAAAAAAAATAAATCCACGTCATATACATTGCTAAACAGTATAATTGTTATATAAGTTATAAATTTTAAGAATTAAACATAAATTAAAACATATTTAATCAATTTACAACATCATGACACAATGGATGGTTCATACACACACGCGCACGCGCACACACCAAAATACTCCCAACAAATCTAAACGTATCCAATAAATTTAGTTACGAATAGAGTCTAAGTAAAAAAACAATAAACTATCACAGACAACCTAAAAGTCCATCCCTTCCACATTGTCTCCCTCTTCATATCCGCTCAGATCATCAGCGTCCTCCTTCAACTTGAGCTTGTACGTGCTCGCTCTTCGGTTGTGTGTGGGGTTATGACGGATCAACTTTATTGTCATGCGAGCAAGATCCACCACGTCTTCGTCGGCATGCATATAAGACATCCTCCTCATGCGCCATCTCCTCGCGAGCATCATGTTAATCCTCATGAGTTCGATGTAGAGCTCTACGAACCTTCCGGACTATCCGCTGCTGTACCAATATATGTACATAATCTCCTCTTGTGGTAGCTATGCCCTTATTTGTAATCCCCTCTATCTCATCAATAGTGTCTATCTGCAATTACGTAAAAATTTGTGTGTGTGTGTGTGTGTGTGTGTGTGTGTGTGTGTGTGTAAAAGCAACCAAAAGCTAACACGGGTTAAAAAAACTAAAAATCGATGGAAAACTATTTGAAATTACGTAATTTACTTATCCATTCTTTATATATACACCTCTTGTTATGTATCTTGCTTGTTGGAAACGTATCTCGAGTTCGTCAACTAGGGGCGTGGTTTGAGTGATTATCCATCTTCTGGTAATCCCTCAATACTATCTTATATAATATGTTTCCTCCATCAGAGGATAAAGTTATTCGACGATATTGAAATGCCGCTCATTCCATCTAGCAATGTACTGATTATGTGAATTTGCCCAGTCAATTTGATGCCCACCTTTGGACGCCTTTCTCTCTATTCTTTCTACTTCTTGTGGAGAGTGCTATGCCAAACCAAACTACCTAAGCATGCGATCTGACACATGCATCTCCATAATTTCAAAGCAGATGAGAGTAACTCTTGCTCTCCATATATCATGCCCCTCCATGCTAATCAGTGGTAGATGATGTAGGTAAGTTCTGTATGGCTGCCACACCAACTAAAAAAATATTACACATATTAGTATGTATCTCTTTAAAATATATCAGTAGCTTAAATTTTCTTAAATTAAAATTTGATACCTGAAATTTTTTTATCTGGTCGACCTCTCCTCTGTAAAAATCTAATTGTCTTGCAGGAGCCTCATTTTAGTAGTTTTGGACGTTCCATTTGTATGAATGATAAAAGGCTAGAATCTAATACCATAATTAAAATTAAAAATCATTTTTTCTTTAATTAGATATGAAATTATTTACATGTAGCCCAATGGAATCTATCCATCTAAAACTCGCGTCTCGCATAATCTTGGTTTGAAAACCAATCTCTCTCATGTCCAAACTTGTAATAATGTCAAACACCACTTGAGCTCTTTATTTTGCCTATAAACAACTTTTGACATTTCCCTATATAGGTATGCTAAACAACACTACTCCATGATAATATCTCGCATGTGTCGAAGTTCTGGACAAACGGTACCCACCCATCACATTAAAAATGTATTTAGTTGTATTATATGAATGATGAGTAATAATCTAGCAAAAATGACCAATAAAGTGCATTATATGAATGACAAGTTGTATTCAATTAATATTCTCATATGTCATAAAATAATATTTTAGATGAATAATTTCTACAAATAGTTAAATATTGGGAATAATTATATTATCTCAAATGTACTTTATCTTTACTTGAATCGGGGAATAGAAGCGTCCCGATCATGTGCAAAACATATGCACGAGTATGTTACTAGATCATGACTTAGGATGCATCTTCTAGCAACGGGTGTGAGAAATTTTCTTTAAGCCACTTCAATCTAATATTCTTCTGGGCAATGACTCAGAGATAATCCTAACAACTCATCACAAACGTGGTGCCAAACATCTCTATCTGTCCCTGTAACACAAGGACCATCAATGCAAAGACCAAGGATTACTACTATGTCTTGGAGAGTAGTAGTCGACTCGCCGACACATGGATGAAAAGTGGTTGTCTCTGGACTCCATCATCCATCAATGTATTAAGTAGTGCCCAATCAGGTTTCATCCACCATAGCCTCAAGCATGTGAGAAACCCTGCTCGGGCTACCAAGGTCATTATACACTCATCTTCAAGTGGCCAACACGTACGTCCAAAGCTATAATCAACCATAACTAGCTTTGGTCCTCTCTGCACAACAATGAAAAATAATATTAGAATATAACAATGAAAAATAATATTAGAGCATAAAATAAAAAAATTATGACTTATATAACTTATTCATGCATGTATGATTCAAGAATCATTACCTCTGTAAACGATATAATCTCCAAACAGTGTTGTGACTGATCATAGAGGACATCATCACTAATCGACTTAGGAAGCATAGTGCATTTACATGCGCATATAATTGGTAACTTATTAGTTCCTGCAGAATCAATAAGACTATCATCGAGAGGATGAAAACTTTCCTTGTAAGCCTTTTGGTAATTCCATTAATTACTAAACTAGGCAATACCAATCATAAGGTAATCTAGCACCACCATCCTGATTAGAACTAGCCGTTAAATCATGTTCACATAGTAATTTTTGTAATTGTGGTATATTACGAGTATAATTGGACTCCCGTTTGTAGATAAATGGTGTAAGTACCTTCACAATATTTAAGCTTCCATTCATTATCGTTGAACGAAGTAATTCTACATGATCTTACAGCCACAATCCTTTTCTGCAGAATACTCTTATTTTTAGAGTGTAACTCATCATCCAACTTGCACCATCACTACGTCTCTTATTAAAGTAGGTGTTTAATCTATAAACCGTCCTTGCAACCAAGGCATGTATTGGCATAGCTCAGGCACCCTTGAGTACATCATTGAAACTTCCAAAGTAATTAGTTGTCATTATACAATAGCGCACTCCACCATCTCTACATAATGCTCATCGATCTTTGTATTGCAGCTTCAAGTTTTGTTCTATCTAGTTGTGTGCTTCAACTAATAAGGACTTAATTTTCTCCCTACAATTCTCATATACCAGTGTGTCAGCTATACACCCTGCTTGCCACAATATATTTTGTAAATTGACCTCTTCGTATTTTTTCTTAAAATTATCTCTTATATGCCTCAAGCAATACAAGTGATGATGTGGTACTCCAAACCCCTTGTGCAAGGCCCGTGGAATTCCTGTCATTCAGTCTGAATTAAAAGTAATCGTTCTAGGGCTTTGATCAGTAGGGATGAATCTATAAATACATTTAAAAAATCACTATCAATTCGATGGGTCTTCTACCTCAATAACAGCGAAAGCCAATGGAAATAGCCCACCATTTGCATCTACACAAGTT